CTGGAGGGTATTAGGTTTTATGGTACTGGGAAGCCTTAGCACAAATTTTTTCAAAAGACCTTTATAGGTGACTTGGACTTCAATGTAAAGCCAAAACCAGCCTTGTAATTCGCAGATTCTGATTTGTTTCTTCTATTTGTTTCTTCACAATGAGTGAAAGCTTGCTTATAATAATAAGAATTATTTGAAACCTTTACAGAAGGTTTAGTTTGTGCTACAGAGCAATGGGGAGACTTAGAAGAGTTATGGCATGTCAAACCAACTTTTCACCTAAGTGGAAACTGTCAAAACCCACCAAATACTTTACTGCATTTCTGCACCTAAAAGGAAAATCTGGCTCTTTTGTTGATAACCTATGTGATGAAGTCAAGAACTATAACAATATCAGAAAAAAACTCAACCCACAGCAGTCTGGAAAATAGCAGTTTTTGTATTCATGCTTCCATCAGGATCAGATGACAGTGTTAGAGAGAACATGTCCTGTCTGTGCTGAGTGTTTTGCATTATTTGAGTTGCCTTTTTATCTCCAGTGTATCCTTATATAATGATTTTTTCTACTGCAGCCAAATCTTCCAGATGAGAAGAAAGCTGCAGTAGGGTGTGGGGGAAAATTTGTAACAGGGACAGTCCTTTCTCATGTGTTAAGTTTACAGGCTAAAAAGACATTTAAAAAAAAAATGTTTTGTAAAGAAAGGAAATTATAAAAGTACAGAAATAGAAGTAGTTTGAAAATAAAATAAAGAAAGATGATGAAAAGTAGTTCATCAGAAGAAAACAGAAAGAAACAGAAGAAAAGGAAAATACTTCAGATAGCATTAAGCAGCTGCAGGAAGTAAACTATGAAGGCAAACAGACTAAAGACAGAAATTAAAAAAAAGAGATACTAATTAGGAAAGATGGAGTTAAAGAATAGACACAGAGGCACATCCAGATTTATTTCATTCATATTAATTACTTCACTAAGCAATACTAATACTGAGCTGGTGATAAGCATGACTGATGGTGTAAAAACAAATATGGCTTTCTCACTCTAGAGCCTCAGGCACTGCATGATATTTGCACTCCTGTTTATACTAAAGATTCATCCCAAATATTCATTTAAAAGTGTCAGCACTATTTTTTCGAATAATCCAAAACATTAAGGCAATTACTTAAAGCAGTACAATTTGAGTTCACAAAGAGCTGCTGCTAAATAGGGCCTAGTGGGTGACTTCACTGCATGAAAGAGCTGGAGCAGTGTTCAGTGCTGACTTTGTACTGAGATTTACCTTTCAGTAGCAGACCTACACAAGCACAAATATTTTGCTTGGGTGATCTCTGGAAGATATCACAAAATATATTTACTATTTATTTGTTTCTTGAGAATACTGTTCCAATACATAGAAGTGCTATTTAGGTAGTATGTTACTATTTAAATTACACAGAATTTGTCCATCCTGTTTATTTTTCCAGTAATGAGTGAATGACAAAACATAGTATTCTGATTTTCATAAGCAGAATAAAGTTTGGATATTAGGCATTTTTGTACTAGTGTTAGGATTTAAATTAGGTATATCCGTAATTTTTAGAATTTCTGTGATGCCTCCTGTTTCAGCTGAACTAGAAATACTTCAAGAAAGCTATTAATGAATACAAAATCTGATCCAATACTTTGGAATTTTTGATCCATCTGAAATCAGAAATTGACTTTTTTAACTTTCATTTTCAGAAATTGCGACATTAAATAAAAATCAAAGGTGTTTGTTTTTTTTTTTTTTTTTTTTTTTTTTTTTTTAATTAAGCAATTACTTAAAAGTTTAATGAAAATTACTAGAACTGAGTAACAACTCAATTTCTTGGTTCCTAGGATACACTACTTCCTGTACAATAAGATCACACAATTTTATCAGCAGAAAGTCATGGCCCTTGAAAAGTGATAAGAGAACATCTCATTTAGAAGATAACTCTGAACTTAGCTAGATCCCTTGCCACTGAGGGCTGGCGCTGCAGCTTCCTCTGCATCTACATCAGCTAGAAGCTACTTCTGCAGTAGGCCTAGCTTGACTTAGCCCTAGCCTGACCACAGTTTATTTAAATGTTCAGAAGTATTCTTGGATATCTAGAAACTTTCATGGCTAATGAGGGCTGACTACTTAAAAACATAAAACCCACAGCTGAATTAGAGCTGCTGGTAATGGTTTATTACTTGGAGCTCCCAACCAGCTAAATTGCAATTGCTTCTATTTAGAACATGTTGCCTCAGGAAGCCCAAAGTAATTAAAGAAAAGCTGAGAAATAGTAATACAGAGAGAGACAAGAAATATCTGCAGTAGCAAAGCTACCTTCTGAAAGAACGGATGTTACACAAAACCTGTACCGCAGGTAATACACTTTTCTTTGAGCTAGGTCTTTGAATAAACAAACATAATGAGCAAAAACCAAAGCAGGACGGACAATGGATTAGGTAAACTTTCCCACAGGTTCTGTTACAGAAAAATATTCCTGCTGAAATATCTACAGGACAGTGCTTTTATACCACTTGAGGGTAATATCTTCAAATTTTACCATTGTTTCTGCCGATCTGGGGTCCGGTAGCGTGGCAGCAGCGTTTGGGTGATTATGCTATCTCAAGGAAAGCATTAAGATTTTCTTTGGCTAGTTCTTTATTGAGTGTGTATACCTGTTTCTGGTTTTGTTTTTTTGTTTAGTCCCTTTTCCCTTTCCCTTTTCTGTTTTCAGGTATTGGGTTTTTTCTCTTATGTGTATATAGCTTTTGTAATTGTATATAAATGTAATATGTGTATATATATATATATTGCTTTAGCTCTCTCTTATTTCGGTTCTCTTGGTTTTTTTCTTTTCCCTTAGTTTTGGCAGGGGGGAGCTCTTGCAGTGGGGGTTTGGAGACTTGGCAGGGAGCCAGCTCTAAAACACCACAACCATCTAAATTTTGAAGCAGTTATTCAGCAACAACTATTAGTGAAAAATAGCACCTCCTCCTAAGTAGCTGCTCTTTGTCAGGAACAGTATTAAAAAGTCAGAAATAAGTTCTTCTTCCTAAACTTCTGTGGTTTTTTTTATTACGTGGGTTTTGTGCAGTTCTCTTGCCTCTTCACAAGCACAGATTTGGCCTACCTGGCTAACAAGGATTATTAGCATAGAACTTTTCCAGGGGCAGTACAAACCCAATCTTAAGTAACAGCATCTAGATATAGTTTTTTGCCTGAAGAGGAGATTATGTATCAAGTCAAAACCTCCATGTAGATAGGGCATGAATTTTTGACTTATTCAACAGTATAACTCTAACAAATCTTCTTAAGCCCAAACTTACGATATATTGTATTTGTAAGACAGAGAGAGTGTGATACAAGTGAGATACTTCGAAGTATTCTACAACTGGAAAATCTCTAGAGGAAAATAAGGTGATTAGAAAATATTGCTTCATTAAAATTACCTTATTTGTGTAGTTATGATTATTTCAGAATTCCTTAATATACACTTTCCATGGAACACCTTTTTCCTTTCTCTGAATTCAGGCTTGTTCATAATAAATTACCAAAGTGTAAGTTCCACAAAATTAGAAAACTGAGTTGTATAAATTGTTGAAATACAGAACTAGGTCTTCCAGTTAATTACAGGTACTTAAAATATATAATTTGAACATTTCCCTATTATGCTATATTATGCATGAAACTGCTTATGTAATTCTTAAGACATGGTTAACAAAGGTGATTTACATAATAAGGGTAGAACAAATGCCTGTTTATGTACATAGTCTGCAGCTCACTGAATAACATTCCAAAATATTATTTGCCTGAGCCTATTCTGACAAAATAAACAAACCTTTTGTTGAGCTTAAGACTGAGCAAATGCCACCTGTGTGAACATATTCTTTCACTTTAAGCTTTAATCAGCATGTGGTTAATTCTTCAAGGAGGTGCTTACCACAATAAAAGTAATAAAGAAAATTGTCTTGAACAGTACAACAGCTAGTTCATACACAGGCTATCCTGTTCAAACAAGAGTTGTTTAATAGGAAGAAAAGTATCCAAGATTTTTATAATCTCAATACTGACAGTTATTTGACCATAATAATTCCTATTTGTTCTTTGTGAATGAAGTTCTGCACAAGAAGTTTTCTGTTTCTTTGGTTTTCTTCCTCCTTTGACTTTTCAAAATAAGGAATGGTTAGTATTTCTATTAGAATCTGTATTTGCAAATACACTGCTCTTTTTCTGGTACTGTATTGTGCTATATTTTGTTTGCAGAATAAAGCACTGCCTTCCACACAGAATAAACAGGACATTATCAAACATTAGAATTTCTTTCTACACAGATCAAGTCACTTAAATTGTCTGGCAGAAATGAGATTGTAAACTCTCAAGAGCCTGGCAGTGAGGCAAATACACGACACTGCTGAGATATTTTATGAAGAAAATGAAGATAAAAGAACTAACATATTTTAAAAAAATTGTGAACCACTTTGATATTCATCCATCCCAAAATAAAACCTTCACTAACTTTTGCATATGAGAGAAAACCAATGTATTTGAATGATAGTAGATCCTTCTCAACTATGGTTCATAATAGCACTAAGAGGCCCTAAATGGAAGTATAATACAAAACTGTCGTCCACAAACCCTGAGAAAATAACTTTATTCAGACACTGTGCTCAGACAACAAATAAAAGGGAGCCCCTCTGATAGGTTTAATGGCTTTCCTTTAGGGAAAAAATGAAAAAAATTGCCATGAGGGTCATACATGATAAATTTGATCTTTCCGTTTCACATTTTTCTTTCCTTTGAAAAACACATAGTTCTTTGCATGATTATGCTGCACCCATTTCTTTTCTACTGTTTTTTTTTTTTAATTAAGTAAAAAGTACAACTATTGTAATAATTTCAAAAGGAAAATATTTCAGTTTTTGTAACTGTGATACACATTGAAATATGAAATGCCACAATTTTCCTTTCCCTCTGAAAAGAAAAACATGTATTTGATATATTTGTGTAATAGCATACCTCCATCAATGCATTCTGGGGTGAAAGAAATATCATCTAGAGCAAATTCTGTGGGTTCACTCCACCCCACTTCAGCTTCAAAGGCAACTCTGAAAGGGCTGTTACTGGAGAGGACTACACTTGCATACATCCATTTGTTTTCTTCATTTCTACTAGAAGACCACATAAGAATATCCATTCCATGTTCTTCAACTGTATATACCTGTTGATGACAAAAGCCAAGAGATGTAACTGAATCAGCATTAAGCAACAGGAAAGCGGGGAGCTAGAGGAACACAGCCCAGCAGTGCAGCTCCTGCCTGGGTAATACTTAGATATGGTTAAAATCCACATCCTATTGGTGATGACCAGATGTTACCGAATACTTTTGCCAATGTTAGTTCAGCTTCAGATAAAAAGCTGCTAAGAAAAGAAAATCAAAAGAACTGTTAATACAATCACGAATATGAAAACCTACAGACAATCTCAGCCTGATGTATAGAAGTTAATGAGTAAAGACTTAACCCCAAATTAATCTAAAAATTGAAGAAAAGACTGAAAAGGTTCTTGAGCTATCCTTTCATCTCTAAAAGGTGACCTCCTTATAGTTGATAGATGGAATGAAGATTTTAGAGATAAAAATAAAAGGCTTAGCAACTGGGGATTGAAGGCTGTTATCTGGTACAAGCAATTTTGATAAAATGTTTCAGACAGTCACTGAAAATTATTGCAAGCATATTTAGCAAATCCATGAATAAAAATAAATAACATAATTAAATAGTGAAAACAGTAAGACACAGAATGAAGTCACAATTATCCAAGAACTGATGAATTTATGTCAAGCACATGAAACTGAAGAATACAGAGGTAATTGCTCTTCTCACTCAAGTATTCAAAATCCTTATACAATCTAAACCAGGTCAAAAATAATGAAAAAGAACTGGAGTAAAGAAAATAGGCATACTCTAACCATTCCAGATGATAACTATTGCTTTAAGAGCCTGAATATTTTAATCATTATCCTCTCCTCATCACTTTCAACAACACGTTTCTCTTAAGTCTTTAAACTAATTTTCCAGTGACCCATAGATTCATGATGCCAACTGAATGTCCCAGTGTAGTAGGGGGAAACGGTTTTCCCCCTGCAGTTATAAAATGGTAAAACCCCAGGGGGTGGTAACCCTTGAAGTTTTGAAGTTTTACTCAATGAATGCTTCTGCAAAATATAAACATATCACAACCAGAACTGAAGAGAAAGTTGTTGGTAGTTGTGGTAGAAGAAGGTAGCCATGTTCTGAGGCCACGAGGAAGAAGGGGTAAGAGCCCCTCTGGGGGACCACGGCCCCCAACCCCCGGCTGGGGTCATAGAAACTCAGAAACAGTGTTAAACTGAACTGAGCTCTGTGACTGAGAGGCTAGAAGTTGTTTTTTTCGTCCACCATGAGCAGCAGAAGCGGCGGCAGTGTCCAGAGATTGTGGCTAAGAGCCAAGGCATAACTGGAGGAACAGTATACAGCATGCAGCCAAGTGACTCAGAGGCACTCGAGCTGAGATAGAGAGCCAGCAGCAGAGAGACAGAGTTGGGGTAAGAACTGAACTAAAAGACCCCAGGCTCCTTTGAGACCCCTCCTGGAAAGGAGGAAGAAGATGGACTCTTACTTGAAAGAGCCTTGGAGTGCTACAGCACTTGTAGAAAGGAGCTAGAGAGCTCCAGGAGGAATGTGGAGAGGGTGACCTTGGCTTCCCCCCCCTCGCCACTGCTGCCAAGGTGGCAGCCTGAGGCAGAGCACAGGAGCTCTGCAAAGGGGAATTTGAATCCTCTGAAGATAAGGACTGTCGCGAAGACCCCTGAGCTTTGTGATATGACGTGGTGATAGTGCCCCTTTGTCCCGGGAAACGAAGCCCACAGAAGACCCCTTGCTTGGAAGACGAGTGGCCGAGGGGCTTGGATATCCCCTCGTGTGTACTGGCAGAAAACCAGTTATCAGCTGCTGCATGAGAAGAGGATGGATGACTGCTGCCCTAGAGAAACTGTTGCTCTGAGAGTGGAAAGGATCTTTCCTTCTTCCCTCCTGGACTTTTATTTGGAGGGGAGAAGAGATTTGATCCATTGTAAATACTTATGTCATGGTAGAGATAATTAAGATTGTATATAATGTATTGTAGTATTTATTTGTACAGTCATTGTAATATATTCCCTTTCCCCATTCTGAGTCTTGTGTGATTGTCTGGAAAACACATCTTACACTAGGTTGAGATGTGGGAGGGGGCTTGGACTAGGGAATTGGATTTTGGGGATCTCAAACCATGACATTCAGTTCAATGATGGAACAGAAAACCTGAGTCTCAAGAAAGTTATAAACAAACCTGTACTAATGATCTGTATAACTAAATAACCTTGATTCTCCCAGTCAACCCAGTAGGACAAATAAGCTAAAAACCTAAATACCACCATGAACCACATACTTTGTAGAACTTGGTGTATTGATTAAAATATCTCTGATGTCTGATGCTCTTGAAAGTTATTTCATTTTTAGAGCAGGTGAGCGTCAAGAATACTGATACACAATAATCCAAGTCAGGATCTAATTTAGTCAAGCCTGATATTTGGTTAAAGGACTGCGTAACAGCAATATCTTGTACTCTCTCCCTAAAAGCATGCATATTGCAGGGCTAAAAGGACAAGTGTTAAGAAGAAATAGCTGATTCAACCCATATAATAAAATTAAGAACTATTTGTAACAGTATTCCAGGCTCTAAGGCCTTAATAAGTTGAAACCCTTGATTAGAATAACTCTACATGTGAGGTTAGGACTAAGTTACAATACCTGTGTATGTCTCTAGAACCATTCACTATTCTACCAATCATGAAAGACAACAATCTTGATGATTTAGAATTTTACAGCACATAACAATGTTAGTGTGGTTTTAGCTATTACTGTATCATTCAGTATTAATTTCTCCTAAAAAATGAGATAATATCACTTTCAATATCTCTCATTGTTAAGTCTCGCAGCTGCACAAATACGTGTTGGGAAAGTGGGAAGAATCAAAAGGATTTGAAGACAATACTGGAATCTCTCTTACAGGACAGTTAAAGATTGTCCTATTATTTAAAACTATATTTTTTTTTCCACTTCTTTTGGTCAGGTTAGTAGGAGAAGTTTATCATACTAAAAATTTCAAGGCACAATACTTGCTTGAACAGTTCTATGTACTGAGGAATTGTGTCATGTCCATACAAAGCCTGGTCTCAGATGGAGCATGGAATCATTCTGTGTTCATACAGATCAATCCCACAGCTCAAACTCAGTACAAACCATAAATCAATCAGGAAACCTGCTGTATGTTTGCTGGCCAATGTGTTTGGAATGGCAGAAAGTCAAACTGGGTTTTAAGTGTGACATTTTCATGACATTAGCTACTGTTCACATAGATGCAAAGTAGTTTTATATCCTTGACTTTCTTTTCCTTGAGATTTAATTTATATTTGTCAAAGAGTAAGGATGTGTAGATATGTAATTATTATAGATTAGGTTATATGTTGTGGTGATTTATGTGGCTCTGTGCTCAGTTAGACTAAAGTTTAAACCTGGTGTATGGTTTCTCATAATAATCACACAGGTAATCTGAGGAAACTGATAGCATTTAGTGGAAATCACTAAACTGGTCCATTGGAAATCTCAGTTGAGCTCCCAGCTCTGCTCCATTTGTCATTCCACTACTGGCCAAAGTACTTCTGAATACTTTTACTTCAGTTCTCCAAGTCTTTATGTATCCATAACTATGCCAGGAATTGATCCGTGTTCTTAAATGTCTTCTAAAAAATTTAGATGAATTTTTCAAAAGAATAATACGTGTTTGAAAATGCATGGTAAATCCAATGGAATTAAAGGAGAGTTCAGAAAAATGGGAAGCCCAAGGACTCTTGGGCTCTGTACCTTTAGCTGGGTATGGATCTTATTCTCTTAGAGATTTTGCTGAGTGAAAGTGAAGAAATAACTGTAAGATATAATACTATATTCTTTCCTTGGACTATCCATGTCACTGAGAGTTTGAAGCATCTTCTAGGTCAGGAAGTACAATAAGTGTATGCAGGATTTTTGCTGGCCTGTGTAAAAATATACAGCACATGAAAGGTAGAGCAAATTCTCACAGATAAGATCTCCCTAAGCCTTGGAAAGGTATAGCTGTGTGGCACTTAATAGCTCCAGAGACTACACTAGCTCCTTGCACAGAGTCCCATGAATTGTGTACAAGCTAGCCTGATAGTGAAAACAATTTCAGATGTGACAGAGAAAAAAGCTAGCAAGACGAATCTCACTCTGTGGTATGTAATGAAAAAAAAACAAAACAACAAAAAACCAACCAAACAAACCACAACAAAACAAGCAATCAAAAAACCCCAACCAAACAAGTTGGAGCAAAGTCCTATTGAACAACTCTGTATCAGTCTGGTAAGACTGTGTTCCAGACTAATACTGATCTAGCTGGTCTGCAGAGAACAACATTCTTCAGAAGATTCCACTACCCTGCCTCAAAATCATGAGTTAGTTCCAATTCTGCAAGGAATGTCCTGTGTGTTAGAAACTTCCGAATCCTTCTTTCAGCTTCTATTTCATTCTGGGAATGGTGAAAGTGCATGTACTTTTGAAGATCATGAAATATAAACTGCTATTTTCTACTTAGTCATCAGCAGCTACAACTCAGGTGGCTATCCTGTACCCCATCCGTATTTTCAAGATAATTATCTTCCTGATCTTGCCTGAATCTAGCAGTTGGCATGCTGGATGGTGCTATGTTCCACCTGAACTGCCTAATAACTGAGAAGCCAATGGAGATCTAAAGGGTGCCTAATAAGAGATGTATTCTCCTGTTGTTTACATCACATAGCCTTTAATTGCCAGCCAAGGAAGAAGGAAAATCTTGAGAAAGACAACCTGTATTTTCACTTCATTAGGCACTAGAGGCTTGAGTCAGCTGAGGAAACTTTCCACTGACTCCAATGAATAATGATGCTATGTTTTCTGCTTTACATCCTTAAAATCATGCACTTGAACTCCTCATGTTCCTTGGCAGTTATCATTGCACATTTTCCTTGGACTGAACCTACACCAGAGACAAACTGAAACAGTTTCTCCATAGTCCAAAAATCAGATTACAGAATTGTATCACATTTCACTCTCACAATAGAGAAGCACTTAAAAAAATTACTTACCTCTTTTCTCTTTATTTCTCTAAATCTTTGTTTAAAGTAACAAAAAATTTCATCTAAACATTAATTTGAAACAATAACAAATTATCTGTCCTATAATAAAATGCATTATACCTCAGTTTTGTTAGTATCAACAAATACCAAAGCAGAAAACTGATATATCAGTTATGCTATCACATAGGGAAGGAATTTGGGTTTTAATTCTCAACTTCCGAAATAAACAGGCAAAAAAAGGATGCTAAAGCATAATAAAAGCTGAATATTTTCAGTCTAACTGACAGATGATCAAAAATTCCCCAGTGGAAACAAAGACGTGAAAAACCCATTCATTACTTGCTGAAACTGCTCTCCTGCATCATTAAATGCAACTAAATTGTCATAATATGCAAAGAGAAATATGAGACTTTTTAAAAAATTTACTTTTGCATCATAATTCAGCCAAATTTGTTTGTACTGAGAGCTATTCTTGTTCAGAGCATATTAATTGATATATTAGACCAGCTATGTATTTAGTGCTGAATAACTTCCATCTCAAATTCTGACACCACAGACTTCTAAGGAAAACTAGTGGTTTTGTACTTAATAATTACTAAGCAATTTCTACTCCTGTTGGCAAATAGTTGACTGAAGTCATGAAGCATTAGTATTCAGATCTCTTTCAAATAGCATCCATTCTATGTTAATTCAAAAGTTACTGTAAACGTTGTGTCCTTTTAAAAAAAAAAAAAAATAATAATAGCCTATGCTTTTGGTTTCTCTATGAAAAAATTACAGAGTTTATGACAATGGAATTGTGCACTTGAAATGTGCACTATGAATACAGAAAAGAAGCACTTCTAGTTCCTTTTTCTTCAGTGACTAGTTGCTTTTTGGGTAAAAATAAGATTAGTCCTATAACTTTACCTTATTTTGTGTAGTTCTACCACATCTACTTCCTATACCAATACAGTCTTCCTTTTATCTTTCTTTTTTATGGGTTCCCTGTATGTCATTTTAATCACACACCTCAGCACGTCCTATCTACACTCCTTTTTTTTTTTAGTTCAGACTTGACCAGAGAGCTGTCTTTTAGATAAGAGCTATAACATCAGCTTTTGTACTGATGTTATTATATTCTAACACATTATTCAGACTTCCTATTACAGTTTGACTTCTTTCACCTCCAGTGCAAACTGAAAAAAAAAATATTTACAGAGCTCTTGCTTTAGAAGTTCTGGGCTGTTGACTTTACTGCTTTTTTTTTGTTTGTTCTTTTTGGACTTTTTTTCTTTTTCACTTGAATGGTAAGGGGTAATTTATATTCTTGATTTAATATCAGCAAGAGTTGATGCTTAAATAGATTATTAGTTTGATAGAAAAGAGCAAAATGTCCATATGGGTAAATTGAGCCTGTGACAGGACAATATTCCTTGCTGAGTGCTTCAGTCTGTTGCGAATACTGTTACATGTTTCTACATAAAGAGTGCATGTTGCAAAACCATAAAGAGGGAACTTTATTCGTGTGTGGAAGTAAGACAATTCTTTGTAGATCTCTTTATGAAATTGAAGGCAATGAGAGTTAATTAAACTAGTCTGTTTAAAATGAAAAAGAAAAAGAAATTAAAAAGCAGACTCTGTGTGACCATCTACCTACTAACTCACACATAAGCCACACACCCCTACTTATTCAGAAACACTAAGTGTTCTGGGAAGCTTGGAAACATTCAGAAGATCCTTCAAAAAGTGTCACTGTCAATGTTGCACACTGTAATGTCCAAGATACTTGAATTTAAACAAGTAGATAATAATAGATAATCTCGTAGTATTTAGCTATCAACAAATTAAAAAAAGCAATTTGTCTGCTTTTTACTGCTGCTTATACTAACTTCATGCAATACAGTGAGTTATTTTTTTTGTTATTTTTAATTGTTTACAGCAATACTCAGAGGATTCATAAACTAGGTACTAGAGATAAAATGGAGATGCAAATCCCATCCAGAAAAAAATACTTAAAAAAAAACCCCAAAGGTTGAAATGAAAGTTAATATTATTCTTTGGCTGGGTATAAGGAGAAGTCTTCTCAAGGTGAGTGGTTGATTAGTGACAGAGGTTGCCCACCGAGTTTGAATAGTCTCCACTTATGTTCATTTTCAAAACTGGGTAAATTTCTGAGCCACCGGGCGTGATCTTGTAGCCGACCCTACTTGGAGCAGAAGGTTGGACTGGAGACCTCCTGAGGCCCTTTCAGCCTAATTGAACTGTAATCCTATGGACTGTGTTATGATTATCTTTTCCAGTGAAGAAAACAGTGGTACTAACTTTCTAACTTAATTTGAGGTCTTAGTCCACAAAGATATTCTTGTTCACTTTTAAAATAGACTATCTTAGTTCAGAAGTTAGCATATGCACATTTTTGTATTCTGTACAAATTAAAAAACTAACATAACCTGTATTTTCAAAATCTAACAAACCCCCACAGATAGGAGTTTTGCTCAGTCCACTTAACAAGGAACTGTGGAATATATTCAGTGAGTCCCATGAAACGAATTTTTTGCCAGGGGTTCACATCACTGCTTGAACTAGAGTACTTAATAACCAGAGGTACCCGTTAAGGATGCTTGGGGAACAGCAAGATGATGTTTACATGGAAGTTTGAGCTATAATTGTTAATACGGTTAAATACCTTATTTACAGTTGTTTTAATAAAACACCCTTTACACATGACTATATTAATATTTTTAAAACTTTTATTTTAAACCACTAAACATTGGAAACCACTTCTATTTTATGTAAATGAGTGAATTGTGCAGAGAGCTGTGCTGATACTGGGCAGGTTTAAGAATGGTAGTCAAATGTGCAGTGTTAATTCTTACATATGTAACAAAAGGACTTCAAGTGGAACTAAAACTAAAGTGGAATTGTCACTTGATCTTGTCAACAAAAATTTTGTATATAGGTGTAACTGCAGTGAAGTTGTGATGAAGTATTGTTAACATGAATTCCTAAGATTTTGCTAATTCTAGACACAAAAATGCGAACAGTACTAAAGTAAATATTATTGTGATGTAGCAGAAGTACTTTTTGTCTTACCTTTAAGACTCCTGTTTGCCTAGAAGCAAACATCCAGAACCAGAACCGAACCCTACAGACCCCAAGACTAGCTGGGAAGAATTTGGTGGTAGTTATCCTTGCTCTGTTTCCTTCCTTCTGGGCAGATGAGTTTACATACAAAAACCTCTGTCCTTTACCTTAATAAAAAGATAAAAAAACATTTGGAGCTTTTCAATACTATTTTATGCTTCATATTATAAGCATTTTTACACACATAGATGCTAACATTTTTTTAATCATTTTTACCACTCACATGTATACCATACCTTGGTTGTATGGAGATCTTCCATGTTAATGCTTTTCATATTCGTAGGATAATAGAAGAGTTTGGGTTGAAAGGACCCTTAAAAATAATCTAGTTCCAATCCTCATGTCATGGTCAAGGATACCACCTACTAGAGCAGGTTGCTCAAAGCCCTGTCCAGCCTGTCCTTGAACACTCCCAGGGATGGGGCATCCACAGCTTCTCTGGGCAACTTTTCCAAGTGCCTCATCACCTTCTGAGTAAAGAATTTCTTCCTAATTTATAGTCTAAATATCTCCTCTTTGGTTTAAAACTGTTCCCTGTTTTTCTAGATGTCCCTTGTGCTAGATAGAATCATAAAATAATCTGACTTGGAAGATACCCACAAGGATCATCAAAGTCCAACTCCTGGTCCTGAGCGGGACACCCCAAGAGTCACACCATGTGCCTGAGAGCACTGATGAAATGCTTCTTGAACTCTGTCAGGCTTGGTGCTGTGACCACTTCCCTGGGGAGCCTGTTCCAGTGCTCAGCCACCCTCTGGGTGAAGAACCTTTCCCTAATATCCAACCTAAACCTCCCCTGACACAACTTCACACTATTCCCTTGAGTCTTCTCACTGGTCACCAGACAGAAGACATGAAGCAATACAAGAAATGTTTAAACCAATATGAGATTCCTCCACACAACATTGTGCCAATGTACTTAATACATAATAGATATAATATCACAGACTTATTTATATTGCTCTGTACACTGAACTTATGTGCTTAGTAACTAGACAAAATGAATTTGGAACAAGAAGGAATTGGATTTGGGTCAGTAATGGGCTGATAGATATTTTTGGACATTAGAGGCCATCAGTATTTAAGCTGTTGGCAATTCTGACAAGAGATTTCTCTATAGCCAATGTGAATATTTCTTGCCTTGGCAATTTACAAGTAAATTTACAAGTAAAATTTACAAGTAGTTTACAAGTAAAATTTACAAGTAATTTACAAGTAAAATGACAACTCTGGGTAATTTTACAAACACGTCTGCTCTATTTTTGTTTTCCTTTTGCTTCACTTTTTATTAACTTTGTTCTTCTTACAATTGCTGGGTAATTTCACAGAAACAAAGAACTAATTAAATGACAGAAACTGAAATAGAAAATCACACAAAATCTTGAAAAGCCAAGGGCTAGTCGTTGTTTTCTCATCACATTACATCAAAAGAACAGCAAGAAATCAAGTCAAACTACTTATTTGCAAGGGACAGCTTGCCTGGAACAGCTGTTTCTACCTCTACATGTCTGTTCTGTTCCTTTCCAAGAACAAACTTCCACATTTACAGGCTGTAATAGCAACACAAACTAGTGTGGATGTCTACAAAAGCTGTGATTTATGGTTGATAAGAAGTTCCCTCATGATCAGGTGAGCAGTTCCTGCAGCAGGTGCAGAATCCTTTAAAGGAAAAGGGAGGATAAATGGGTAGAACAGAAATGGTTACAGCCACCCACGATAAGACATCTCTGTTGATTTTGAAAACGTAAAACACACACAAAAAAAGAGTCAAGACCTGGAGATCATGCTGCTCACAAACCCAAAACCAGTAGAGATTGTGATACTTCTAGATTGAATACGAATGATACTTTGCAGATCAGGTGTAAATTAAGACAGGGTTTCCAACCATTAAGGCTTCTGAAAAGATAGCTAAGTACTTCTCAAATAGAGATTGGTATATTTGTGATGGAAATTAATATCCCATCCAGATATACTGTATAATGTAGAGAATATATTATTTAATATTTATGTAATACAATATATAATTATTGCTCAACTGTCTACATAACACAGATTACTGTAATTGCCTATAAATACATTTAATTCTTCTGACAATCAATAGGCATTCTGGTAGCAGTCTATCAGCAACATCTTCAGTAGCACTTCAGAAGCACTTCAGTATTAAGATTTCTGCAAGCCAATACCAGGGAGGTAAATTAAAGCAAAGTAGAAACCTTAAGCATTTCATGTACATCCACACACTTTGCTCCTCAGCCATTCTCTGAGGACCTACATATAATTGCATATTTTTCGAGAATTCATTAGGATGGTACCACACTCCAGGAAAAGTAGATTGTTTAAAATATTGACAAGGAGAAGAGTATTACTGTAGCTAGTTATACTTTCAAAAAATTCATCTTTTAATATCAGAAGCTGGCATTGTATAGATAAAATTTTTTATTGGAATAGAATAAAATTATTTCAGTTGGAAGAGACCTATAGTGATCATCTAGTCCAACTACTTGATCAATTCAGGGCTGACCAAATTAAAACATGTTGTTAAGGGCATTGTACAAATGCCTCTTAAACACTGTCAGGCTTGGAGCACTGACCACCTCTAGGGAGTCTGTTCCAGTGTTTGACCTCCGTATCGGTAAGGAAATGCTTTCTAATGTCCAATCTGAACCTTATTGTGGCTTTGAACCATTGATGCATCAGCTGATCACACTGAAATTAGCTGTTACCTTGGCAGGTAGTGGTTTTTTAATTTGGTGAATATTTAATTTTCCGAAAAATGATGTAGTACACATGGCAATACCTGGTGTGTGGTCAGTATGAGGACCCATTTGTCCCATGACAGCACTCTTGCTAATATTCCAGTCAAAATCATCATTAGGGTCTTGTGTTAATCCACATACACTTGTCCATTCTTGGTCTTGTGTTTCAAAGTTACAGCTTCCAGGAATATTTGTGTAGTAACCTGAAAATACAATCAGAAGTAAATTATCCCCCCAGCTCTATGTAAAGGTGCTATAATGAACATACTGTACTTGGTAATGAAAAGGATTCTGTATACTTAACTCTATGTTTCCCTTCATTCCGTGTATGGACATAAATATTATGTGGTAGTTAATGAGGAAAGAAAAAACTAATTCTTCACGAACACATATAAACTTTATCACAGATAAATGCCCATGTAACTCTTGATGACAAACTGAGGACTTCACCAAATTTAATTCTTATCCAATGTGAGTGGACAGAATGATTTCCAGTCAATTAGCTAGCAAAACTGGACTGCACTTCTGCAGTGGTATTTTTCATAAAGATATGTGGCTCGTCCTCGTGAATGTTATACCTGAAGGCAGTTTTATGATGAAAGAGATGTTTTGGTGATTAGGACACCAACTAAATTCAGGAGATGAGAATGCTCTGTGGGATTTTGTCAGTGTATATAGACATTTGCTGTGATGGTTTAAAGGAGACAAAGCGAAACACTTCTCAGTGGTGCCCAGTGTCAGGACAAGAGGCAATGGGTAAAAACTACAGGAAGCACTTTTTAAGGTTAAGAAAAAACTTTTTTAACCGTAAGGCTGATCCAACACTTACACAGGTTGCCCAGAGAAGTTATGGAGTCTCCATTTTTGGAGATATCCAAACCCTGACTGGCAAAGCCCTGTGCAACCTATTGCAGTGAACACTGTTTCAAGCAGGGAGTTGAACTAGATGATCTCCAGAGGTGCCTTCCCACTTCAACTCTTCTGTACTTTTTTTAGTACTATTCAAATGTACTGACCATCTGCACTGGCACTGCATTACAAGCATCATGGAAGCCTAATAAAGCCCAACCCCAACAACAAAGACCATCACATGCAGGTAGGGCAAAGAAGGGAACTCATTAATCAAAAAAACAAATACAATTTGCTTGTACGTCTCTAACAAGATCAAAGTCCAAATTCATTTAGAATTTATACTAGTCATAATAGAATACCCAACTTCAGGATTTTTACCCTAATATATTAACAGTGCTTTCAGAAGCTAATTATTAGTAAATATTTATAAATAGTATTTACTGGTTTGATAGTCATGTGACATATCTGTACCTCCTGAGTGCTTTATATTTTATGACTGAGCATAGCCTATTTAGAAGTCAATAGAAGAAGATTGTTCCATTTATTGAAACAATTGCTTTTATTTCAATGATTCAAGCACACCTCCAGTTGGATCATCAACGCTGAGGCTTCTTATTAATCAAATCTGTGTGTACAATTGCCTGCAATTCATGAAAATTGAAACTACTTTCATGTGTGCTTTTTTCACCTCGGTACTTTCACCAGGTAACTGAAAGAGAATGAAAATTTTGCAAGATTGTCTGACTGGACTGAATGAAGCACAGAGTAAGCAACTTCCATGACTTTATTTAAAACAAAAAAGTTCACCAACCTACATGGATGCAGTTCATTTCATTCAGGTTCTGTTGTAAATCCTGTACAGAGGAACTGCTGCTGAGTAGATTATGGTCCATTTACTTCTTTGGAGTTACACTGGTATAAAACTATCGTAGAATATGAAATAAGCTCAGACCTTGAGCTCAGTGCAAAGGAGAAAACCCAAGACAAATGTGGCCATAACCATTTGTGATGGTACAGGTTAGACTGTGAAGGGCTTTCTCTGTGCCTGTTCTGCTCTGTTTTTTGATTAAGTAGCTCCTGTTGCCTTTTCATTAAAAAATGAGGTTTCCATATCTAGAAGGCATTATATGCCCATCAACATTGTTTATTCCCATTTATAAGATATATGCTCAGGGGAAAGGTGTATTTATCTAAATGTAAGGCATCATTTGTTGAAACTAAGATATAACAGATAGGGAAATAGTATACCTGAGGCTTATCTGAATATTCTGAATGCCAGATTACAGTATCTCTATGTTACTGATATTTCGACACTTCTACACAAACAGCAAGGCTAAAGACTGATGAAAATATTTTGATGTAGCTGCAACATTTCCATCTAAAATAATATTTCACTCTACTTATTTAAAGTGAGTATCTTCTTCCCTTGGAAGAGCTTTTGTTTAGTATAGCAAGGACTGAGTTGCTTTACTGTGATTTAAGGTCATTTATAACCTGAAATATTTCTGCCTATTATCTGACCAAGAAGAGAGAATTGATGCTATCACAGTCCTTTCAGAAAAAAAAGAACAACGCTCTCCCCCAATGAAGTTACTATATCCTTTAACAATATAGTGCCTCCACAGTGTTTTGAATACCTTTACCAAGCAGTTCACTTAGGACACAATTCAGATTTACTGTGTGTCTGTTAGACCTGAAAAATTTTATAAGGGTGAGTTTAGAGAATATTTTGCTGCATTTACTTTGCCTAACTCCTGAAAAAATTAATATTGTATACAACAAATCAGATTAGATGTTTAAAATATATCTTTTCTTGGAATCTACTTTTAAAAAGCTAATATTTTAAAGTTATGATTCAATGTAGATCCATTTCCATGATTGTGATTCACAAAATTCTCCACAACACAGAGCACTCCAAGAGGTAGAAACCAGAAACAGTCACACCAGCTTCAGCATACTTACATCAGAACTGTTATTTACTTTTATGAAAGGGAAAAACTCCAAGTTAAAGATGTCCTATAGGGACATCTAGCATGTATCCCAGTAAGTGTAAGTCTGTAAGTCTGCAAGTCTGCTGCCTGGTTAAAAAAATATTATTTCCATCGCCCAACAAAGGGACATTGTTTTTGTGATCCTGTCCAGTCAAAGCATATAGCAACTCTATGCAAATGAAAAGGCATTTGATTTTCAAGGGATCACCAAGTATTTCTTGATTTCAGTGAAGTCCTTTTACTTCCACACAAGATGAACATTGAATTAATTTGTTTAATGCATTTACTTTATCTATCAAGTTTTGATTATATCTGCATTATAGCAGAATTGGCCCTCCAGCTCAGATTAACAATTAGATTGATTACTGAACTGTATGTACAGACTACTAACTCTTCCTGCTCCAGATGCCAGGTCCAGACAGTAACTGTAACTAAACAAAGACATGGAGCAGGAACAAGGGCATAATGTTTTACTTCTGAGTTTCAAGCCTGAATTGGAAAGCCTGTGAACTTGATCCAGATTTTAAAATTGAGTTGTGTCCTGCCGTCTCAATCAGCCATAGCAAAGAATGCCTACAGACAAATCTTGTCTCAGTATTATCTAGGACTTCAAAAAACATAAACAGACTGGACTTTTTCCAGTTGTTCTGTAATGAAGAAACGGCAAACTGCTTGTAATCACCTTCTGAGTGAATCATCTGTGTAAGCTCACCTAAGCTATGCTACAGCATTTAAAGTTATAATTGTAACTGGAGATTACATTAACACACAAAGAGATACTTACTGCAGTCAGCTTCATCAGATAAGTCTTCACAGTCTGGTTTATAGTCACAGACGAACTGAGACTCTATGCAATTCTCATTCCCACACACAAAATCAGTGAAGGCAGGGCATTCCCTGGGATTCTCTCCAACTGAAACCAACAGGACATTTAAATCAATATTGTGATTAAATCAAAGGATTTTTTTTTGTATGTTTAGTCATTAAATGTCATGACTTTAGGGATGTATCTGCTTCCAACAGATGTTATTTGGTCTCACTCTTTTAATGTTGCATTATACATGTCTAGACTACTGTATTGGCCTTGCCCAAAGCTTCAATGGTAAAATGTTTTGCCTTGATGAAAATTCAGTTTGGCATCAACATAACTGTATCCCTAGTGTATTGTGGACATTCCATAAAAAAGTGTTCCAGGAGCTGTTGAAAAGTAGACAGGCTAAAGGCTTTATTCTGTTCATAATTATAGTACATTGTTTGGAAAATAAGAACATTTTAAACTCAGAAAATCACTGTTATACACATTTGCTTAATGCATAAACTTTTAAAGCCATTATAAGACACAACTTGTTTGGAATAGTATAGAGATACTTCTGCTCTGAGTGTGATATTCCTCTTATGGTATTGAATATACAGATCTTTTTTACAACAGTTTTTGTTCATCTCTGAAAGTGAGTGAAAATCATCTCATAAAATGAGACTAACTCAGCAACTTGCACATAAAATGTTAGGGTCAAATCCAAAGAATGTTGAGATTCAGCCACCCTGAAACTATCAGACTATAAAGAAACTTACATAAGTTCTTTAGTTCAATGTTATTTTTTAACTTATTTTTAATTTATTTTTAAGTGATTTTAAACTTTTTTAAACTTATTCAAGTTATTTTTTAGTTGCACTGTGAACATAGCTTCAACTAACACTAATTAAAACAGTTCTGATGATCCTAAACACAACATTTCAAATGCACTCCTGTTAACTTTAGATTGCTTTTCAGTCTAGAGCTTCATGTTGTGCAAAAAGACATTTAGGAAAATTTATTTTTATTCATTGGAATGTGTTTCATTTTTTCCTTTAAACATTACTAAAATATAAAACATTTTTAAACACAGCCTGACCAGAACACCATGATGTTTGCATTTGTGCAGGCCCATATTTCCAGAGGAAAAGTTATTGTTTCAGGGTTTTAATCTCAAATAGTGGTACTTACTGAATTTTACAGTCTGAGGAGATGCATTTTTATTGAAGCAAAATAGAAAACGAGAACTAAACTTTTGAGTTAGTTTCAACATGTAGACAAGGTAATATTAAATTGAGTGACAATACAATATGAAAATGTAATCCAAATATTTAAAATAGTTCAAAATAAACAAACAAACAAACAAATGAAGCAGTGCTAATGTTGGTTACTTGCAGGAGCTTAAAATTAAAATTTTCTGCTTTAAAATGCAAAGGTCTCTGTGCATTGATACAAATAAAATCTGTTTCTAAATTGATATCTATCTTGTTTTATTTTTTATTTTTACACTGTCAATTTGATCTGAGTGGTGTCAGGGAATCCACAGCATTGCTGTGAATGCCTTAAATACAAGGAAAGATATGGCTGCTTTTTACACATAATTCATGTGACAGTGAGCCCTTAGCAGAGAAACAGACTCTTGAGAAAAAAATGAATGAAGAATCTGTGATGGTTAAGGCAGTTTTTAAGACATCTCCAAAATGATATGATAAAACCTGACTGAAGATAACACCAAAAATTCATTAATATGGCTTATCCTAAATTCTAGAAAACCACATAATAATGGAGGTTGGAAGAGACCTCTCAAGACCTCACTAGTCCAACCCACTGCTCTAGCAGCCTGTAGTACAGCAGGTTGTGCAGGACCATGTTGAGTTGGGTTTTGGATATATCAATAGATGGAGACTCAACAACCTCTCTGAACAAGCAGTGCTTCTCTTGGGTGACCCTCACAGTAAAAGTGGTTTATTGTGTTTGCATGAAATTTCCTGTTGTTTTTTTTTTTTTTTTTTTTTTTTTAATTTGCACCCACTGCCTTCTGTCAGTAGGCACTTGTGAGAAGAGTCTGACTCCCTCATCTCCCTTCCTTCCTATGCACTGGAAATGATGCACTGAAAAATTAAATTACTTCCTTAAGTCACTCAGTGGCTTAAATAATGACAGAAACTAGGGAATGGCAGAGCCACTAGCATACAATAATTTTCACATCTTATTTCACTGCAAATGAAAGGGGAACAACATCTGAAAATCCATGGTTTTGTGACTGATCATATTCCACACCTCTACCTTGATAGAGTAACATTATGTTATGTCATTACACAATGATTTATATTTAGCGTTTAATTACAGTTGTTTTTTTAAATAAGCTACTTTATAGTACTTTAAACATACCATGTACCAACATTTATGAATATTTTCATCTCTTTGGTTATCCTAAGATAAAACTTGATCCATACACAGACGTAATGAAAACATTTATCTCAACAGGTGTGAATGACATAAAGCCCAAACACAGATTCACATATCTGTGAATTTTATCCTTTTGGAGTAAGACCTTGTTTATATGTAATTTTTAAGGATATCAGGTCATGCTTATGGCAATAATGGACTTTCTGCCACAGCCTTTGGCAGAGAGAAATAAAATCCCTCTTCAAATTAACATATTGGCATTAACATGGCACAGTCAAACCAAATATTCTAAACTTCTATTCAGAATTCTGGTATAAAAAATCAACTTTTCAGAGTGTACTCATTCTGACCAAAACTTCTACACCAGCTAAGATCTAAATCAAAACAAGATAGCATGCATTGGATGATGGTTGATTATATATAGCATGTAATATTACATTTTTTTCCCAATAGTCTCGCTCACAACATTCCATGAAATCCAAACATACAGAAAAACTGTCCTAAGCAGAAAAAAGGCATGAGAAAATATGGCAAATTTTCTTTCTTGCAACAGCTCAAGAATCCTATAACGAAAAAAATTATCTACTGTTAAATACACTCCAAACAAATTAAGACAAAGATTACAATGAGAAAAAAATTTATCAGTTGTACTTTGCTGTGTTACTCTGCACTTATCTTTGAGCAACTACAACATTACAATGGATGAGTGAGCTACAGCAAGCAAAAGAATGAGCTGATGCCATGTATGAAAATATCAGAGGTATGAAACAGTGAAATATGCACAAACATGGATTTGTCACAAAATAGAAATAAGAGAAATTACAGGGAGTGTGGATATGCAGCCGGTCAAAAGACCCCAATTTGTTCTTTTCCCAGAAAAAAACAATATAGGCAACAAAAAACCTCACTGTAAACCAAAATAAAATACAGAATATAAAACATAAACACAGAGAAGAATTTAATAGCATATAATAACAGCATAGAAATAAGTAGATCAACAAGAATCAGTGGAGCAATTAAACCATTTATTTTCTCCTAGATAACTGGTCACAGCACATATCCTTGTAAATAACTTTTTTCTGCTATAGTGAATATTTGGGTATTAGATTATTATAAATTCAAAAAAAATTAAAACAATTATTATGGCATAGAAAAATGATAACGGGTTATTGCACTCATTTCTTTGGTTTCCCTTTGGAACTGCAGCATTTCGCAAAAGCCAGGACACCACTGGAAACTACAACAAGACATATTTTAGATGAAGTAGTAACTAATGTAAAAGCATCTTGCACGATGCTTTGCAAATTCCTATGCCAAATGAAATGGCAGTACTTGAAAAGGAAAAAGCGTGCACAGGATATCACTTTTCAATTAAGTACAATTTTGTATTGATGCTGCAAAGAGCCATAAAATCTTCTAAGTAGTTTTTAAAAGACCAATAGGACTGGCTTGGCTTCTGGATCACTAAACTCTACAAAATAAGCATGTTAATGATGGTTGCCATAGAACTTGCATTTACATACACCCACTTTCTTTTCTGCATATTTTGTTTTCGACAATGTAATTCTCAGAATAAGATCTCTCCTAGTAAGAATATCTCTGTGTGTTTGTATGTACATAGAAAGCAGGCAAGATATAGATGCACATCATGCATACGACAAATAAATTGTAACTTTATTGCCAATACAGCACAAGTTATATTTTTTATCCATCTCCAGTATATGTTATCTATGGAAGACTAACCCACATAATACTCACAGAATTTATAGATATGACAAGATTCATTTGCATATAGCTGATAAATACATTATTAACCCAGACACTTTTTTTTCAACTACCAAAAAAAGAGTGACTATGAACAAACTCACAAAACCAGTCTTTTTTACTTTAAGTTTGCTACTAGATAACAGCAACAGGTCAGAGACTGTTTCTCTGATTCTCACAGTACAGGAGCTTACTTTTAGCAATGCTTTGTAAGATGTAAATATTCCTGTAATATCCATTACATCTAAAATTACAGAAAGAACCAGATAGGTCAAATATCAGTCCCATAAGCTATAGATTTTGATTGTCTAAAGCAAAATGCAAAAAAAAGTTAAGTTTCATATATAGCAGTAAATTTCACAGATTGGCTGTTAGGCTGACACAGTGAACGTTGTCCTATTTAAAATATTTATCATGAAAGAAGTGATTGATCACACAGCCAAAAGGAAGAGATGCTTTTGCCATGTTGTATTACAACACTACAGACATAGGTTGTCAAAGGTTGTGTTGTGATTTTGAAAGGCACAGTGTGAATCCCAAATTATTATGGCTGTTAAAGGCTGCAGTGAACAAGACCTTGAACTGTTTTGGAAAAAAGTGTAGAACTAAAGGTCAAGTACACTAAGCTGCTGTTTACCGAGTGTCTCATCTTTGATCTGCTAGAGAAACATGTGCACTCAACAGTACACCACCACCATGTCAGCAGTATGAAACAAAACATATAATGTATAGTCAATGGAAATGAGAATTATTTCCCCATTGTTTGTCTTTTTAGAAATTAAAGTCCTTTCTGAGTAGGAATATTTTCAAACTAGTTGAAAAATCATCTCTTTCTATTATTTGATTTTTAAATTGTCATGTATATTTGGAGTACTTATGTCACTTCCCTCCCCTCTTTCACAATGCTAGAGAGAGACAGCTTTATCTCTTTGGAGTCTGTAAGTGGT